AGAGGGCAATGCTCATCTCCGTTTCTTAGCCAAGGGAGGCACTGTGGTCCAAAGACACTTTTGTGGTCATGTGGCCAGCATGACTGTACACTGAGGTGCATGGAATGCTGTTACCTTCCCACCAAAGTGGTACCTATTTATTTACTTGCATTTGCATACTTTCAATCTGCTAGGTTGGCAGGAGCTGGGGCAAGTAACAGGAGCTCACCCCGTTGCACGGAACTCGGGTCTCAAATCTGGGCTGTGACAAGTTCAGTATCTTTAACCGCTGAGCCATCATGCCCTCTAAAAATAATATAATGTATTAAAACTAAAATTAATAACATCAATTAACTAATTGCTGCTATGGGTCTTTACAAATGACTTTATTTATTTTTTATTACATTTGGATCTCATATTTTCTAACAGGAGTTCAAGATGCATACAAAGCATTTCCTTACTCTAATTTTTCTCCTCCTCAACAACAATTCTGTAAGATAGTTGAGCTAAATGGGGGTAATTGGGCCAACGTAACACAGTAAACTTCCATGGCTGAGATTAGACTAGATTCTGGGTTCCCCACCACTGTAACACTTAAATCACCATTCCATATTGTCTCTTAGATCTCTCATGAAATCTATCGGAACTCATCCAAGAATAACATTGTATTGCACCACTACAGGACTGTATACCTCTCACATTTATAGTAAATACACAAATAAGGAGTAGGAAAGTTATGTCAGTAGACATATTAATGCAAGTGAAACCTTCAATAGATTGCTGGCTCATTGTAGGCTACTGCTCGGGTTTCTGACCACTTTAGTCATCTTCCACTCTCATCCCTCCTGCCCTACAATTTTGGACTAGATTTAGATTTAGCCCTCACTCTACAAGTAGTCCTTGCTGAATGACTACTTGTTCAGCAACCATTCAAAGTTACAACAGCGCTGAATGAAGGAGACTTATGACTGTTCCTCATAGATATGGCTGTTGCAGCTTTCTCGCAGAAGGTGATCATGATTCAATTGCTTGGCAACTGGCTTATAATTATAATGGTCACAGTGTCTCATTGTCACATGATCACCATTTGAGACTTTCATTGCTGGGTTCTGACAAGCAAAGTTAATGGGGAAGTTGGTAGAAAGTTACAAATGGTGATCATGTGAGACGATGCAATTATGCAGGATTTGCCTAACAACAGTAATTGTAGCTACAGCAAGTGCTGTCATAAGTTGGCATGGTCATGTAACATCATGCTTTACAACTGTGTAATTTAGCAATGGAGTTGTCGGTCCCAATTATCATAGTTAAGTGAGGACCACTTATACTGCTTTAGGATATAGTTGACCAGTTCTGAATCTTACAGCTTCTTTTCCACCTAATTTTTTTTTAAATTATTATTTATTACTGTTCTGAAGAGTTTTGAGATTTCCATCAGATTGCTCTTACAATTTCTTTTTTATATATTTGGTGCCACTTTGACCATCTCTACAATTACTGAAAGCCTAAATAACAAGAACATAGGGAAATTGATATAATTGTAATGCAATTTTGTAGGATATATTTCTTAGAAAGTACTTCAACATCTCCTAGTTTTGTCACTGATAAAAAAGCAGATTTGTGGGATTAATTAGAATGTTTTGTCAAAACCTGGGGAGTTGCTTACACAAACAGAAAACAATGTTTTAATTGGTAACATGAAAGTTTAAGGTTAATAGACAATTCTAAGTAATTCTGAAATGCACTTGATAGGATATAACAGCACTAACAAAATGAAGTAGGAGGAAAAGCAGCAGCAGTGGAAGCTATAATGTTTTTCCTAAGAAAATAAACCAAGTGAATTGCTGTGGGGAGTTTCAACTGTCTCATAAGAAATCTTCTGTTTTCAAGTCCTTGTTAAGAGTCTAACAGCAGAGTCTAATCTCGATAAGCCTTCTTATATAATCAATAAAGCACTTACAGAAAACACTTACGGTTTATGTGGTCAATATAGTAGACACCAATCTGACGATCGTATGCAGCTTCCCATCCCCATGGTAGCTCATCTCCGACACAGTCTGCAAAGGATAATGGCTTTGTTAACCTAGAAACAAAATAACAAAATAATTGAATTAAGATTATAGAATTTTTTTCCTCGATACAGACATAGGGAAAATTAAGCAATTTAATTCAGAAGTGCCTCTTCAGGCATTACTACCCTGTTCAATATCTTCACTTTAAAGAATAAGTGAGAAAAGTTTGATTAAAAAACATTGACAAGGGCTAAATGCTTTTTTAAAAAAAGATCAATATGCAGAAAGGATATTCCATGTTCTTTCCTGCGTTGTGTTTTTAGCTGAACATAACTGTTATATTTTTGCATATTTTTTCTTAATAATTCCCAGCACTGAATTTTTTTTTCATTACAGCTCTCTTGGGTTGTGCTTTAACTCTACAAACCCTGAAGCCAATGCACAATTGGAAAAATCAGGGTGTTTTTCAATTCCTTCAAGGTAGAGTCATTGTCTCTAACTCACCTTATGTCTAATTAAAAATTCTTCATGGTCTTTGTATAAATAAATTGTCTTTGATATATAAATTGAGAGCTTGGCATTTCAGGAAAAAGAAGGCATCACATGTCATCGTGGCTGAGAAAACTTTTTTTTAAATGCTATTTTTTGACCTTTGATGGAAAATGGAAAACAGAAGTGGATTCAATAAGTGGCAAATCTGCCTCTGAAGTCACACAATATACTGTACAACCATCTATTTTTTGCTCCAATCATAGCATCTTGGTAAGTGTACAGGGAGAACAAATGAGAAGATGGTAGTAGATATCAATAGGAAAGTATTTTTTTCTTTTTATTATCCTAATTATTCTGCTAATCTGAGAAACATGGATGTAGAATGATGCTTGTGACCTGCAGAGGATTTGCCATGGATGTGCCATATACAAATAATGCAAGTAGAGGCTAACTGGTTCCCCCTGGAAGAAAAGATGAAAAGACTAGAGACAAACCTCCAACTTATCTACATGGAGGAAGTAAGCAGTGCGGTACCCCAAGGTTCCATTATAGGTCCAGTACTCAACATCTTCATAAACTATTTAGAAGAGGGAATAGAAGTATTATGACCCGGGACTGAGCACGGAAGCGACACAGCTGAAGTGAAGGATTAATTCCATTTTATTGCTCCAACTTTCTCCCAAAATTCCCACCGTTCACTGCAAGTCCAAGAGCAAGCTCTAAACACACACACACACACACCCCTCCAATAGTTCCTGGCTGCTAGACGTCCAGGGGAGCAGCACAATTCAGGAAGCTTGGTCACTGGGTGTCCTGATCGCATGGAGGGTTCACTGGAATTGCAGCATAACCCGGAGCAAAGCTATGTCACTGCAAAGTCCCACCAGGCCAGGCCAGGCCAGACAGCAGGATGTGAGTAACAGCAATTGTGGCTAGAAAAATGCAATACTTCTTCCTGATAAAAGCCCCTCCCCATGGCGTCTGTTTAAATTTTATTCCCCAGGTGAACCTTGTGAAGAGGCGTGGGGCACCCTCCTCCCGAGTAGTCGTGTCGCCCTGCGCTGACTCTGCCTCCTCTCCATTCTCCGCACTTGGGGATCAGGTGGGAGAGGCAGTTGCTCATCTCTGGAGCTCGGTCACTCCTCTGCTCTGCTGCCTGCCCTGTCCCTCTCCTCCTCCCCTCGCTTGGTCATTCAATGCCCTTTCTTCCTCCCTGGTGACCCTTCCAAAGCTTGAGGGACCAAGGATTGCCTCTTCCTCTTCCTCCTCTTCCTCCTCCTCCTCTGGTCATTCCTCCGGGGCCAGAGAGGCAGCACCATCTCCCTCTGTCAGCCCCATCTCTATCTCCATCTCCTCCTCCTCCTCCTCAGACCCGGGCTCCAATGGGGCCATGACAAGAAGGAGAACTCATCAGATTTGCAGACAACACTAAACTGGCAGGAATAGCCAAGACCCTAGAAGATAGGCTCAAAATCCAGATGGATCTCGACAGACTTGAACATTGGACCCTTGCTAACAAAATGAAATTCAATGGTGAGAAAAGTAAGGTTTTACACTTAGGCAAGAAAAACCAAATGTACAGATACAGATTAGGTGAAACCTGGCTCAATAGCAGTAACTGTGAAAAGGAATTTGGAGTCCTAATGGACAATTACTTAAATATGAGCTGGCAGTATGCAGCAGCAGCCAAAAAAGCCAATATAATCCTATGCAGCATTAACAGAGGGATAGGATCACATGAAGTACTAGTACCGCTTCATAAAGCCTTAGCAAGACCACACTTAGAAAACTCCATCCAATTTTGGTCACCATATTATAAAAAAGATGTTGAGACTCTGGAAAGAGTGCAGAAAAGAGTAACAAAGATGATTAGAGGGCTGAAGGCTAAAACATATGAAGAACGGCTGCAGGAATTGGGTATGACTAGTCTAGTGAAAGAAGGACTAGGGTGACATGATAGCAGAGTTCCAATATCTCAATGGTTGCCATAGAGAAGAGGGAGTCAAGCTATTCTCCAAAGCACCTAAAGGCAAGACAAGAAACAATGGATGGAAACTAATCAATGAGAGAAGTTAACTAGAACTAATAAGAAATTTTCTAACAGTAAGAACAATTATCCAATGGAACAACTTGCCTTCAGAAGGCAGGACAAGAAACAATGGATGGAAAATAACCAAAGAGAGAAGCAACTTAGAACTAAGGAGAAATCTTCTGAGAGTTAGAACAATTAATCAGTGGAACAACCTGCCTCCAGAAGCTGTGAACACTCCAACACTGGAAGTTTTTAAGAAGAGACTGGACAGCCATTTGTCTGGAATGGTATAGGGTTTTCTGCCTGAGCAGGGGGTTGGACTAGATGACCTCCAAGGTCCTTTCCATCATCATCATCATCATCATCATCATCATCATCATCATCATCATCATTATTTTGTTGTTGTGGTGGTGGTGATGGTGTTGGTGGTGTTCTCATCACTGGAGGCTTTTAAGAAGAGACTGGATAGTCACTTGTCTGGAATGGTATAGGGTCTCCTGTTTGAGCAGGGGGTTGGACTAGAACACTTCCAAGGTCCCTTCCAACTCAATTATTTTGTTATCAAGGAAAACGAAGAATTATGGGATAGGATAAGACATTTGCAAAAGGACAACAATAGCACAATATGTCCCAGAAGACAGAAGAAACCAGGTGGAAGCAACATAAAGATGAAGAAATGTGATATAAAGGGCCATGCTTGTTAAGAATAGCTCTTTGGGGGGGGGGAGTTTCAGAACAAATAAAATCAGTTTATTACAGCCATATGGCCAGAAACAGTAAAATATCCAATTGTAGGCTACTTACATACATATATAAAAATGCAGAGCATGATCTAATGATGAATAAGAACACATATAATAAAATTAATTTTAAAATAATTTTTTTTTTAAAAGATCTAAAAATAATATTTATCTTATTTATGGTTCTGACGAATCCCCAGTGCTGCTGTGCAGAATCTAGCCATCTGCGCTGTAATCACAGCCTGTTCATCCTTAAGCAGCCACTGTAGATAAGTAGTGTCAGAATGGCCAGGATACCTATCGATTATTGGGAGGATATCGTTTTTTCAAATATCTCTATAGAAAGAGCATCAAAGGAGTATGTGTCCAATGGTCTCCACCTCCACTGAGCCACAGGAGCAGAGTCTTTCAGTCAATGGTATCTTTTTATACTTGCCGTATAGGATGGCCGATGGAAGCACGCGGCACTATGTGAGCAAAAATGCTTTCCAATGGTTTGCTGACTCCAACTGGCTAAGATAACTGGTGGGAGTAATAACATATCTAATAGAGTCTGAAGCCAAAAACAGCGGAGCTATCCCTAAGTACGCTTGCCTCTCGATGTCCTCTACCTTTTGTCTCAAGGTCTGTTTTGCTTGGCCGTAGTCCAATTTGAGTATTGAGGCTGGAGAGAAGCCTAGTTTGACAAGGTTGGACTCGACTGCCTTGATCCATGATGAGGAAAATTTGTCTTGGAGGATTAATGGAGCAAGGCCTTGTGAAAAGAAATTTAAGAGATTTAAAGAACCTATACAGATTCTTGCTTTGACTTTTATCAATCCTGTCTCCAGGCACAGAAGTGCATTTGAGGCACAACACGACATCTGGAGAATTGCTCTAATAAATTTAGATTGAACTCTTTCCATAGGTGTGAATCATGAAGCTGAGGGTCTGAGCAAGGTCCCGTAGTAGAGAAGCTGTGGTAGCGACTTGGTCAGAAAGAGCTTAATTGCGGCTGAAACATAGTGTCCTCCCTTTGTGCAGAAAAAGTTTAGGATGGCATTCAATGATCTTTGGCCAGAGGCAGCCACATAGTCTCCATGTGCTTTTCTTGACCCAGTGGCATGGATGACCACCCCTAGGTACTTAAAGTTGGTTACCTGCTCTATATTATGATCATTAAGATACCATGAATAGAGTTTTGGCCTTTTTGCAAAAAGCCATAACCTTTGTTTATTATAACCTTATGTCCAGTTTATTGTAATTGCAATACTGGATGAGAGCTTGCAAGGCTCTTTTAGGCCTAACCCTGCAGAGGATCACAGCATCATCTGCATAGAGCAGCAGGGCAATGCTTTAGTCACCTATTTTGGGGGGGGGTGGTGGTAATTGGGTTTATTTAATGATTTTACGTCATTTACATAAAAGTTGAAAAGCAAGGGGGCCAAAATGCACCCCTATTTAACCCCCTTTTGAGTTTCAACTGACCTCAATAGGGACCTTTGCATATTGCACCTCACCTTGAGGGATGTTTTAGTATGGCAGGCACATTGAACAGATGGAGAAGCCTGTGATCAATTGAAGTAGCTTCCAGCTTCTCCCATAGCTTAGTCCTTGTAACCATATAAAAGCTACCTTGAGATCTATAAAGACAGCATAAACTGATATAGATCTATTTGATACATATTTTTCAATCAAATGATGGAGAACTAAGTATGAACTTCAGAAGATTCCAGAGCTTCCCCATATATGCTTTGGGATGAAGAACAATTATTGTAAGCCTCAAAAGCTAAATAAGATGGCTGTTCAGGCTTTGCAAGGGGAAGAA